TATATATATATATATATATATATAATTTGTAAGGCTTACATTCATCATCCGACATGAATCTCGAGGCATGGTGTGAATCTCAAGACGATATTTTAAGTAGAAAACATTCAAATATTGATAAAAAGTCATCTAGAACTCCGATTTTAACAAACTTATAGTCAGACTGACCGGCTTGATGAAACAACCTAATGATATGAAAACTAGTCAAATCAAGCCCATATTATGATATCAAGTCATTGAATCACACTTAGATAATTTCCGGACACATTTGGAAGATCAAAGGGTTGTCGAATCGAGCAGCTCGACAAGATGAATCCAACGAGCACAAGATCACTAAATTCTGACATCATTAAGACACTCAAATGTCCAGTAAACATCATATGATCTATGGAAGTTTTGTGGATCATACAATCAAAATGATTCATATTCTTGCATTAATTGCACACATAACACTATAAATAGAGCTTCATCCCTCTTATTAGAGGGGGGGCTGAAGTCTGGAGGGAGAGCTTGAGACATTGAGGAGAAGCTGCAATTCAGCATCTCCGTCGATCGTCGTCGACCACCGCCAAAGACCATCGCCGATTTTCGTCAACCTCCGTCAATCGTCATCGATCACCACTAACCAGACGCTGTCAATTAAAGTTGTAATCTGAAAAATATAGTTGTATTTTTTTCATCTATGGAATAAATGATTTTTGTAATCATCAATCAATAGTAGATTTTTACAACTAGGTTAGACCCATGGTTTTTTTCCTTTACGGGTTTTTCATGTAAAAACTTCTGAAGTAGTCACATTTTTTTTTTCTTTTTCATATGAGTGTGTGCAGAATTCTCGTAAAATACTAAGACGTAATTCGTCACTTTACCGCCGCGAATTTTCTGGCATGCATTATATATATATATATATATATTTGATTTAGATGCTACACTGTTAGAAGAGTTAATATAAAATCATCCTATTTTAAATATAATAATTATAAGATTTGTATGTAAATTATCCTATTATTAACTATATGCAAACAAATTTGTCTTTAGGTAATTAAGAAATGTACAATAAAAAGTAAAATGCACTTATTAGAAAAGTAAAATTAAGCTTGGAGGATTATAAAGAGAATGATGGACTAAAGTTAACTAGGTTAGGACTCATTATATTTCTCATTCATTATCGATAAATTATGAGAAACCATCACCATCATGCAAATAACTTTATTTTTATTTGGACTCATCTTTTATATTGTTTAGTACTATCTTAAGTGTTTAAATTTGTTATCCCTAAATCATTATCAATAATATCCTTCTAATCTAATTTCATTTGCTTGTTCATGTCTTAACCACGGAAGAGTTGATTTGATATATGGTTAAAAATAGGACTTACGTTGATAACTTAGAAATTCTTATATATTTAAATATTTAGCGCATAGATTTTATATTTATTCATATAACACTGTAGTATCTTACATAAATTAATGTTAAGAGTATTCTTATATGATATAAAGATTAGAATTCCATATATTACATAAGAATTGACACTCAAAATAAGTGAAAAAAAAGAACCAAAACATCTTAAAAAATATACATATATTGCATAAAAGGAGGTGTATTTTGTAAAAATAGAAGAAAGATAATCATCTGACAAACTCCTTTTATCCAAGAAAATCGTTTGAGAAGGGTTGGCCTCTCTTAAAAAAAGAACAATTTTTACAAACTAAGTTCTATAATTATAAACTAATTCTATCCAGATCCCATTTCAAGCAAATAATCTAACAGCTTACTACAAATACCTCAAAATCCCAACATTGTTCTCTTTGTTCAATCTGTCTCATACAGAAGCCTTTCCTCTTTAACCCCTGATTATTTAAATAATTGGAACAGTTACATACATATTAACTCAATTCCTATCTATTTACATATCTATCTCCTACACTTCATTTTTTCCGGACGTGTATGTGTGTGTGTTGTGCCGCAAGTCTTGGCCTATTGGTGGCGGGATCACTGTAAGTCCCTTCATGTCAAGGGTTTGATCTCACCATGACGCGGGGCTCGGGAAATTTAGGCATATGACACGGGCTCTCATCATAAGGCCAAAATGAGCATGGCCAAATATAAATTTCCTTTCTATATATATATAGTGATATGTATGTAAATGCCCCATGATTTTAATACGTAAATAGTGAGGTTTTTCGCTCAGCATTACCGGGCAGAAAAAAATATTCTTAAACTGTGCTAAAAATTTAAAGTCTTCACAATGCAGAATGATGGATCACAGTTCATCAAAAAATTCGCACAAATCTCAATATTTGATGAACGGCAGGCAACCAATATTATCAAAATTTGACTAATGAATCCGCAAAAAAATAAAATTAATAATAAGAAATAAAAATCGAAGAAACATATAGCTTGGAGAGAAAAATGCCATTCATTACCCAAGCAGCAGTAACGCAATAAATACAGCAAAATTCCAATAATTCATCCCTGAAACATCATCAGCAGCAGAGATTGGCCTACAAACAATAACAATATAAGATCAACCAAATTTGATTTCTTTAAGTTTACCATACTATTAAAAAGAAAAATTTTAAAAAAGGAAGATTTACATCCATACCACTCAATTCTTATGTATTTACATATCTAACACCTCAACTTCAACGTTTACATACATGCTACCTTGCCTACGCATTACTTTTAAAAAGTTAACATAGTGGCATTTTTTATGTGATATAAAAGATTTTGACGGTATAAATGTAAAAGTCAAAGTGTAGGTATTAGATATGCAAATACATATGAGTTGGGTGGAAAATTTTAAAAAGAAAACCATTGATTCAAACTAGAAAGGACTTACATGCATACCTCCAATTCCTATGTATATACCAATATCTAACACCTAAACTTCAATTTTTACATACAGGCTACCTAACCTATATATATGAAAAGGTAAAATGTATGTAAACATGAAAGTTTAGATATGAGATGTAAATACATAATAAGAATTGTGGGTTAGCTAATTAACTCTACCTCGCCTGTTTTGGCTCTGTAGTCAATCCAAAACCAAATGGAAATAAAGGATCATAATTCTGATCTCCTATATTCATGGGAAGCTGATCAACCGATTTGAACCAAGTTCGTGAAAGTTTTCCGGTGAACCCGTAGTCGCCAAAGAGAACATCAACGACGCCCTGTCCTTCTGTTCCAGGAAGCCAAGCCGCCACAAGAGCATCCATTGCCGGAACGTATGGCTGAATCACCAGAGGCCGGCCGGAGATGACGATGACGACGCATCGGGTGATGCCACAGATCGTCTGGATCGTGCTCGGAGCGGGTTCGAGAAGCACCAGGTTGTTGAGGTTGTCTCCGGCGAACTCGGCATAAGGTGGCTCCCCAACAACAATTATGGCATAAGAGAAGTTGTTGTCTTGCATGAAACTGATGTCTGGATTCTCATTGTATAGGACCTCAGTTGAAGGATCAATGGTGGATTTTATAGTATTCAGTATTGTAGTTCCTGTCAGCATTGATTGTTAACTGTTTAAAATAATACGGAAGAAGAAAGATGCAGGAAGAAAAATAAACAACTTTAAATTTGATTAATACAAACCTACTGTGATTATTCTTGTGTCTTTACACATCTAACACCTAAACTTTAAATTTTACATTTATAACACTCAATTCATTCAAACCAAATAAAAAATAACACTACATCTAACTTTTAAATAGTGAAATACACTTGCTTAAGCTTTAGGTAAAAGACTGTAAATGTAAAAATCAATGTTTAGGTGTTAGATATGTAAATACATAAGAATTGTGTGGCATGTATGTAAATCTTCCAAAAAAAAATGCCACATTAATTAGATTAATACAAACCTACTGTGATGTCCCCACCAAGCCCCTGCCATTCGATGGTCCAGCCACCGCATTGGTAACCCAAGTTATCAGCATGGCTTCCGGCAACTAGGATCTTTGGAGCTTTCTTGGGAAGGGGAAGAAATGGATTCCTGTCTGATTTTCCATTTTTCAATAGTACAAGTGATTTTCGAACAGCTTCTCTAGCCAGCTCCCTGTGTTCCTGTCAAAATTTTAAAAATAGAGACATTTACGTTCATACCACACAATCTATTTACATATCTAATATATAAATTTTCATATTTACATGCATAACCCTCAAACCTTTAATATCACATCAAAAACAGCACTGTTACTTCCTTTCTAAAGTGGCATATTCCTTTTCATGCATAGTTTGTAATACCAATGTTTTATAAATGTAAATATGAAAGTTTAGATTTTAAAAAATGTAATTACATGAGAAATGTGTGGTATGTATGCAAATTTCTCTTTAAAATATTATGAAGTAACTGATTAGAAGTTGCTCATATATATACATAAAAAAAGCAATTGTTATTTCACCTAAAAAACTATAACAAAGCTTTACTTTTCGAAAAAAAACAAATAAAGAAAAAGAGGGAGCAATCTTCATAGCATTTTGTGTAAAAATATGCAGAGAATAATAACAACCTTCTTCCCAAGCTCGGCCATGAAACTGAAATCCGCCATCGGGCTCTCAAAGAGACCTAAGGCAAACTTGACCCTTAAAATCCTACTAACAGCATCATCAATTCTGCTCATAGGAACAGCCCCACTGGCAACCAGGGAAGTCAAATTACTAATGAATTCCTTAAACATATAAGGAACCATAATCTGCAGAGAACGAAAAAAAAGACAAAAATAAGAACAATGATTTAGATTTTAAGAACAAGTTGTGATTTCTGCAACTCCATCAACTAGATAATGAACAATTAAGCCATCACCCAACCACCCAAATGGCAATTAAACTCGCGGTAATCTCAACACTACTCTTTAATTCTTTTACTAAATTTTGAATCTCGTGAGCTTAGCCTACCAGCAAAACACTAACCATATCTATTCCAGCATTTATCGAGGCTTCAACAGAATAGGTATAATTTGCATCAACTGGTGTGGTGATACGATCAATCCCCCCTGAATCCGAAATCAAGAAGCCCTAACAAGTTATTAAAACACAACCGCATCAATGAATCACAAACACTGGATTCAGTATGACAGAAGATAATGAGCATTACACTGAGTCAATCGATGATCGTAGCGAATGACATACCCTAAACTTGAGAGTGTTTTTGAGATAGTCTGTAATAAGATAACGGTTGACGTGCATTTTCTCTCCATTCCAGCTAGAGTAAGAGACCATGACACTCGAAACACCCCGAATAATGGCATCCCGATAAGCAGGCATGTGGATACTTAACAACCCGTGTTCGCTGATAATGGTATTGTTTTCATCAATTCCATTTACAGTCCCACCATCACCTACAAAATGCTTAGCGCAGGCTGCAATTTTGTCCCTATAAAAGAGGAACTAACTGGATCAATTACCTCTATGAAATGAAACAGATGATCATATATAGTATAAAATAGAATTCATTAGATCTCTTGACAAACAATATGGAAATCAAAGAAGACTTGCTTATTGGCAGGTCTAATAAATATTCAAGCTGGTTTAGTAATTTGGCGAAAGATCAAACATGAAATTCTTTGGGCCTCTTTAAATTCATCACTTATTTATGTATGATCCTTTGTTGAAAGTTTTTAATAGCACGAAATAACTCTTATGAGGTGTTTGATAATGCCTATTAATAGGATTTATCACCACCACCAACCAACAACAAGGGTCGGCTACATGAATCCTTTTTCTCCATTGAGTCCTATTGAGTGTCATATTTTCATTTAATTCTAATAGATTAAGGTCTTTTTTATACATTATGCCCAAGTCTTAACAGGATTTATTACCGAATTTATGAAATCCAGCCAAACATAAAAATACGCAAGTTTCGTGAATTTATGAATTTCGGATTTAAGGGCCCAAATTTTACCTTGTGTTTAGCTTAAATCCGAATTTACTAATTCCAGCAAGATGTGGATTTAACAGATTTAAGATTTCAGGATTTGCTAAATCCTACTAACGCTAAATCCTGCTTGCAGCCAAACACCCCTTAATGAGTAAAAACTAAGGATCATGGCAAAGCAGAAGTTAACAGAAGTGTCTTGTAATGGAAATGCCATCACTCATCTGAAAGCATACAAATTGTTTAATCAAGAATCAATTAGCTTTTTCTTTTAGTTTTTTGGATCTATGGCAGTATTAAAAAATCTTACTTTCCAGCAATGTATGGGACACCTTTTTCATGGTTAGCGGGAATCTCCCCCTGCAATCCAGGAATAATCGCAGTCATTTCTTCGACTATTTTATGATCTTCACTGTAGCTCTCATAGCATCTACCCCACCGTGGATCTCTGCATACCTGCCCATCGTCATTTATGAACCAATTAAAGAGTTTCAATCATAAATAAGCATGGAATGGTTATGAATTAACTTACGGCAAGAGTTGGAGCAAAAGTATATTGAATGCCAGTAGCCCTCACTTCTAAAGCAGTTGCAGTACCGATCCTTTTCACTAGGTCAGGATCCCTAAATCCCCGACAAGCGTGAGATAAAGATTGAGGAATTTAAGAAATGACAAATATTACTGCTCTCATTAAATCTTTATTGATCATAACAATCACATGGCGAACTTGAATTTCAATCTGAAGCATGATAGAATTTAAAGCGTCATACAATTTCTGAGCCAACTTATGATAACTAAATATACAATATTAGTCTTATCACAACTATTCAGCATTGGCATCATGAATCCTCATTTTTCACTCATTTCTATTGAGTGTTGCAGGAGATGAAACACCTATTTTTTGAAAATCATTATTAATTCATTTAACCTAAGGTCTACTACTTTTTTTCTTTCAAATTATTGGACAATAATTTTATAAACTTGTTTATATAGGAATAATTTCTAACCTTTGTTGTACATGTCGAAAAAGCCTAAGGCTCTGTTTGGGGCAGCAGCAGCTTAAATTGTTGTGAAGCCGCTGAAGAATAATCTGATATTGCAAAAAACTGTGGTGGTTATTATATTTTTTTTTTAAAAAAAAAGTCAAACCGCGGCTAGAAAGCTCAAACCGCACCTAGCCAGAAGTGGTGGGAAAACACTGATTTCAACAAAATTTTTTTGAAAAAGCTGCCAAAATGTAGTTTACCCAAACGGCCAAAACAGAGGTGCGGTGCCGCACCGCCGCCGCACCGCTGTGCCAAACGGAGCCTAAGTCTATTTTGAATTGCCTTATCTTATTAAACAGATGTCATTCCAAAATAGTCCCTAACAAAATCATTCATTAAATTATCATTTTTGGCTCGTCACACATCATTCATTTTCTAATATAATCACCTAACTCTCAATCTCATGAATGAATGCAGCTCCAGAAATAACTATCCAATTTGCTACTTCCATGGACTTCTTCCTCAAATCATCCATAACAATCTTAACCAGTCTTGTGAGGTTGAGACCACATATTGAGATAATAATCTTTAATTAGGTCCAATCAGCTTCATTGTCTTAAATTCAAGCCCTTCTGTGAAGAAGCACTAAAGCTTAGCAGAACAATATAAATCTGGCACCTCACTTGATACAAACAATGTATCCGAATTAATGAAAGCAAAACTGCAACTTGCTCCCACGTATGTGTGTGATGGTTCATCTCATACGAATTCAATTTTCTGGATCTATATGCTATATTACTATCACCTTAGCATGCTTCATCAAAACACAGCTAAATCCTTTCAATAAACCACCACTAAATATATGAAAACCCACTATGCCAAAAGGGATGATCAATATCGGTCCCAACATTAAACACTCATTTAACTTCTGAAAATGTAATATCACATTATTTTTAAGTCGAGCCACACTTATTTTGTGTAGATTTGATCAAGCACATTGTCATTTGAGAAAATCTATTAAAAAATTTAAACGATAGCTTGTCACATCAAGAAAACTTCACAATTTGAATATATTGATATATTTCAGCTATCTAATCACAACCTGCATCTTTCAATGATTTACAGATATTCAATTTCCACCAGTTATGTGTCCCAAGAATGCAATACTCTACAACTAAAATTCATACTCCAAAAACTTAGCATGTAACTTACTTCATCTCAATATCTCCAACACCAAAATCAGATGAGTAGCAAGATTTTCCAAAATTCTCAAATACAACAATAAATTAAAATTTAGGTGTTGTATATGTAAATGCATAGGAATTTAGCGGTATGTATGCAAATCTTCCATAACTCAAACATAAAGTGAACCAATGAATACTTGCCTGGTTGCTCCAAGCCCAATATTGTGTGGAAAAATAGTTGCATTATACACATTATTGTTTCCATGAATGGCATCTATTCCATAGATCATTGGTATCCCAAGCCGCGTTGAAAGACTGCCATTTTGGAATTCATTGATCATATCCACCCAATCCTTGGACGTCGCCTTCAGACGTGGAACACTCCCACCACCACTCAATACACTTCCTGAAAAAAATTAATGAATCAGAAGACATTACTAACCAATATTTAGAATCAATACAGAAATCCTTCTAACCAATGAAGTATCTCTTCATGTCTTCCGCCGTAGCTACCGAGCGCTCAACCTGTGCCATCTGGCCAATCTTTTCTGCAAGGCTCATCCTACTGATCAGATCCTTGATTCTTGTTCCCAATGGTTGTTTCGGATCTTTGTATTTGAGATATTCTGCATTGCTAGCAGATGGACAGCATGATACCAACATGAGACTGAGCAGAAGTAATTTTGCAACCCCCATACTCCAAATCAAGCTGCCATGTTCTTCAGCTTCTGCAAGTAGATTAAACCCTAAAGAAAAACTGGACGTGCAAGAATAAGCTGAAAAAAATATCAAGAAGAGTGTAGGCCAAGCATATAGATAAGTAGGTCCGCGCAAAAACAGATTATGAATTAGAAAAATAGCATTGCAGGGTAAGATTAAAGTGGAAGGGATGGACGTCTCGGTGGTTTGCGCCTTCGATGCAAGGAAAAATTATTCGGTCCGACCACCGCATGTTC